CCGCGATGATGGCGGGCGGAGGACCGACCAACTATACTGAGTGGAGTACAGCTGTGTAGAAGCCGAGCGGTTTCTATATTCTCGACCATAGCCGCGTAGGTATAGGCTGTAAGCCCGTCGTGGCTCGTCTTGCTCGCGTCAGCCCCGCGCTCTAAGAGTTCCCGCGCAACGCCAAGATCTCGTTGCATAGCGGCGTACATCAGTGCAGTCATGCCCGACTGGGTACCTGCATTGCAATCGGCACCGTGGTCTAAGAGCGCTCGCACGCAGGCGCTGCTGCCGGCATACGATGCCTTATGCAACGGGGTCTCTGACGTTCGATCCCGAGAATTAACATCTGCACCTCCATCAATCAGAATATGGAGGGCCTCGGTATTGGCATGCTGCGCTGCAAGATGCAAGGGTGTAGCGAAATCCAGGTTCGGCGTGTCAGACTCCGCACCGACCAACAACAGCTGGCGAATGATGGAGACATCGCCTGCGGCAGCAGCATAGGCCATGGCTGTCGAACCGAAAGAATTTCGGGCCGACATATTCAAAGTGTAGCTCGAAAGCGCATGAGCCGCCGGCGCATTGCCGCATCTGACAGCCTCGATCAATGGTGTGGCGCCGTCATTGTCTATGGCATCTGCGTTGGCGCCGAAGCTGAGAAGAAGCTTAACAATGTCGGCGCTGGCTTCCTGAGCTGCAAAGTGGAGGGGCCTGGCGCCGTGCTCGTCGGAAATGTCTTTGTCTGCTTTTCCTTCCAGGAGACGTTGGCAAATTTTATAGTTGCCAGCTCTAACGGCGCAATGCAACGGCGACATATCGTCGTCCCATTTTTCGTCTGGGTTGAAGCCCGCATTTAGCAGGAGGTCGGTTGCAAGGAGTTGACCACATTGAACAGCAATTATGAGAGGAGACTGCCCCCAGCCATCAAAAATGCCGGCAAGAGGCCGCTGTAGGGCTTTGTGAGCCTTAATAGAGGCTAGAGCCAGCTCACAGTTGCCTCTCGTGGATGCCCACAGCAAAGCTCTATGCTCATGCCTCGCATCTTCAGATAGAAGAAATGCCCGAAAGTTATAGAATATGCGGTGTGCTTGTATTGCAGCGGCAATATCCCGAACAGACAAAAAAGAAAGGATAATAGACAATAGCTCAGGGGGAAGTAGTGACAAAGTCGCCATCTTGGAAAGTTGCTGCAAGATGATTCTCAAATTTGGCTGAGCGAGGCCATGTTATAATATTTGTTCTGTAGCCAGGGGTAGGTATCTGAACCCTGTCTTTGTCTCAGTAGTAATACGAAGTATTCACCCATCCTACTAAGTTGGCGGTTAGAAGCAACCAACCGTATTCATAGCCCAGACTTCAGCCGAGCAAACCACCAACCCCGGGCGGCAAGATTATGAGCGGCCCATTCGGCCCCACAGACCTCCGTTCACCACAGCACCCACTCCGATGGCCGAGACCCGTGCCAGCCTTGTTTGTGATCCACCACCGAGTTCTAACATTGGCGCTCAGCTTCACTGGGCGGTACCGTTTTCTTCATGGCCGAGCGGACGCTGTCCCGCCACCTAATTTTCAGGTACCGCGCCACCCCCCAACTCCAACGAGTTTTGCTTCCTCGTCAAATTCGTGCTTTCTCAAAAATGGGTAGGTAGTGCTAACTGAATCCAACTCTGTTGGCTCGAATAGGGGGCATTTGTGCTAGCATAAGGTACAAGGTCTACTCATCGTTACTACCAGCTCATGATAAAGCAGCATGATCTTTATAAACTTAGGCGGTTACCGTACAGCGTGTTGCCAAGCATCTACGCAATGTTTTGGTTTTACTCTTTCTTTGCCATCGTGGCCGCCCATTCCTGGGTAGAGCGTGTTTAATGAAGTGGGTAGGATGATGGGGCCGCCTGGCTACAGTCGCGGCGCCGTCGCGCGACTGGACCCGATGTTCAATGACTACAAGATGCAGCACTTATTGCCTACTGAAAATGAGAATATAGTTACAGCAGACGATCCAATTTGCAAGCAGACTCAGCCGAAAGGTAACTACTTACAAACTCTCCCACCGTTACCGGCCAAATCCGGCGCATTTATTAGCTATGATACCAGAAATGGAGGCAGACGGAACTCAATCTGAAAAGGCCAGGACTTGAACTTGGTAGGAATAGAAAGCCAGCTTAACCACTAATAAATTCATCTTTTGTCTATTGTTGCTCCCTCGGACGACGATACCGGCTGTCTTGAACCACTAGAAGAGGGGTCTGACAATGTAAGTGAATTGTCGCTGTAAAGGGCCCTAGTACTCACGAGATGACGGAGAGCGCTTATCTCTAGACCGAGTCTTCGAATCTCTTCGTCCTTGGCCAGTTTTTGCTGGCTAAGTTGGCGCTTGAGCTCCTGCATAGAAACGATTAAGGCGTAGTTCTGCGACAGAGTGGCGAGCAGCCGCTGCTGAAGCCTTCTCTGAGCGGCCCGTAATATTGCCAGCTGGCCTCGCATGCGACGATATCGACGAGGAAGCATGCTAGTCGAATAGAGCTGCTTTCGCTGTAAGACTCTCCAGTACATTTTTAAAATAAAGTAACTATAATTAAAGAAGGTGTTTGACTGATGCGGGAGTTAAATAAAACTGGTGGGGAGCTGGAGCGGCACGAGTGGGAAGCCTAGCATGCTGGAGGCTAGCCGTCAGGTAGGGCCCGCCACAGCGCTAGCTTCCTCCAGCGAGTGCTAGATTCGCGTACTTAGACTGGTGTATCGCCTTATCCAAAGCAATCACTGTTGATACTGCCTATTAATCATTCATTATGCCTACAGTATCTTCGCCCTTCCGGAGGCTACTTTTCCAACTCGGCTATGGCTTGGGGAGACCTCAGTCACTTATATTTATCTACGACATTTCGATTTTCCTTGATTCCTGTATTATACTGGAGAGGAGCGGCCAAATGATCGACCTACAGCCTACGAATTGGTACGGGGGAGCAGCGACGACATTCCTCGATAGCAATGAAAGAGGCTTAATATACTGGCCTGCAAGCCGAACTGACTGCCTAAGCTACTCAGGGCTTAGCGAAAGACGAGTGTATGTGTTAAAACCAAGCGTTTCTAATCAGTTCTGACCTAATTCCAAGAATACATGGTGCTATTGTCCAGCTGCTATGTCATATGCATGAAATGGTCCTTCGATGGCGCCGCCCTATA